CCGCCTGCGACCCACTTCGGATTTGAAAAGTTCCCAGAACAAATCTTCTTCCCTATCGTGGCCGCTGCACCGCTGCACCACCGCGGCGGCCGTGGCGACCACAGCGCCAGCAGGTTTTGGCTTTTATGACGGGGCTGGCCCACTGACGACTCGACGGATTTCGGAGTGGAGTGCTGCCACACTGCCACGCTTGTCTGCGGGCTGGCGGCCGTAGCGTGGGCGGCGGGGGCGCGGCGTGGTGGAGCGGAGTGGAGCGGAGCGCACGTCGCGGCCAACCCAACACCTGCCGGCTGGGCCTCAGGCTCTCGCCGAAACGCGGCAGTCCCTCCCTACAGTGCCCTGCCGGCCCGGCATCCTGCACCGCGGTGCATTGAGGTCGCGGTCTTCCAGGAGGGCTTTTCCTTTCACCGGTCGGCCAGGCTGCAGGCTGGCTGGACCCGCCTCGCCCTCGCAGCGGCCACACACGCCCCTCTCCCCCTCCCCCTCCCTCCATGCTTATCGGCATCTCCAGCCGTCACCGTGACCTAGCTGGTTACCGGGCTGTAGGGCTGCGGGCTGCATGATCGAGACAAAGGAATGCACCTCGACTCGCGGGCGACAAGTAACGACAAGTCTGGCGGCGTGCGTGGCTGCACTGTTCGCCGTGCCCGCGGCTGGAAAGTAGGCCGCGAGTCGCAAAAAGGGCTCCGGTTGTGTCAGAGGCGCGCTGCTGTGTTCGATTTGCGTCGCCACTGGCGGAGCGCGGAGCTTGCTTTCTGCATTGATCTCTGTTTGTTTTTGTTTTTCGCCGGACGAAAGTCACGAGCCGCGCCTCCGCCGCCGCCGCGCTGGGTATGCAAAATGAAACTCGGGTGGGGATTCGAACCTCGGTCCGTGGTATCAGCGTGTCGGCGGTCCGCGGGGACTCGCGACGCGTTGTATAATGGTGGGGCAGCCCCGTGCCTTTGCCGCCCTACGTAACGCCGCCGCCAGCGCGACCAGCCCTCCGCGATGTGGTCCAAGGCTCGCTGCTGCAGCCCGGCCGTCAGCCCGGCAGCGCGCCCCCGATGGCGGTGATAACTGTAAAGCAGACTGGGATGTGGCCGTCGGGGCGGTGCGCCGGCAGCATGATTCCGCTCATCGTTTCGTCGCTCTGTCTCGCTCCTACATCAACGGATCGTCCGGAACGTCCCACGAGTGCGAGAGAGACAGAGTGACCAAAGCGGTTTTCGGAATCGCTTTGCGACGCCAGGACGACGGTGCGCCTAGGCCGCGCCGGCTTCCCCGTCGTGGAGCTGCTGATGCTGGAGGACGCCCTTTTTTCGCTGCAGGCGCGGCGACACGACACAAAGGGGTCGTGGGCACGCCGTCGAAAAACGATCGAGGGCACACTGCAAGACGGCGTGGTGCAGCACCAGGGCATCGGAGTGGTAGAGCCTGGCCAGCATGATGCAGGTCATGCAGGCATTGTTCTCGTCCTTTTCGCCTGCCGCCTTCCGAGGGGTACTGTACCGTTCCGCAACCGGTTCGCTTCGCCGTGCTCACTGTGCTCGCCGTACTCGCCGTGCTGCGGGGGAGGCTCTGGCACCAACGGCGACGGCTAAGGTTCATTTCAATAGCGCCCACCCGGTGCCTGCCGTGCCTGCCGAGCCTGCCTTGCTCGCTGAGAGAGAAAGGCCTTTGCAAATGAACGCGTCCCGGCCGCGACGTGGACTCGGACCTTGTGCCAGAGCCTGCCTGGCTGCGCACTGACCGGGGCTGGCTGCGCGCTGCGCATGCGCCACACTATCCGATTCGGACCGAGGACAAGTTGGACAAGCGCGGCTCCCGGCTGGACCCGTGCACGGCGCGTGGCCGGCCACCACACTGTCTGCTGCTTTGCCTACGACGGCCAAGCAATGGGCAGCGGGCTCGGGGCCCCATAGCGACCGCGGGACCCAAGGCAGCGAAGCAGCGGGCCCCGCCGTGGCGCAGCCGTCCCAGGCCGGGCAGGCAGCCCTGATTGAGGTTAGCTAACGGTGAGGCGCCCCTCCCCTCCCGTCCCCCCTCGCCTGTTTCTCTTTCTCCAGCCTTCCGCTCCGATGACAGACCGCCGCCACTAGAGGCCGCCCGCCCCGACGCCGCTGCAGGTTTCGGCAGCTGCGCGACAATGAATCGCGCCGAGCGTCGCCGCGACGCCACGCCACGCCTCGCGGTGCATCTCGCTAAACGGCCCGTGTCGCTCGCACGCCCCGCCACGCCCGCCGCGTGACCCACATCGCTACACTGCCAGGCGCGGCAGGCGGAAGTAGTCCAGTGCGGGGATAAGCCGCGCGGCGCCTTCTCACGCTCTAATTAGGCCGGCTTGTCATGTTCCTGGACGTGAGCGTGTCGCCTCGTCGGCGTGTCGCGGGGGACGCCTTCGACGCGGACCCCGCCTCGCACTGCCTCGCCTCGCCGCTGGCGGCGGTTCGATCGCGAAAGAGCGACGCACCTAATTGGCGCCAGGAACGCTCCTCTCCGCTCCGCGCTCCGCTCCCGCAGGCGATGCGATGCGATGCCGAGTCGACCGGCACGCGCGTCGTGCGTCTCGGCACCGCGGCCGCGTAGCGCCGCTGCAGGAAAGTCGGGAAACGCGCACGCACTTTCTCGCGGCCGCGGCGCCGCGGCCATGGTCGCCGACGGTCGAACCGAACGGCGGTCCGCGCCTTCGCCTACAAGCAGCGCAAGCAGACAAGCGTGGCGCGCGGCGTTGGAGCGGGCGGTGGCGGTTAGAGACCCTCCCGTCAGAGATGCGCAAGCCAGCCCTTGGTAGTCCCGTGGAGTCAAAGGCACCCTGAGTCAGGCTAGCGGGCGACCGCCGTATACCTGCTGTGCCGCACCAGATGCTGACCTGCGTAGCCTCGCGCGGGGCGAATCCGGGCTTCCCGCTCCGCATAGGACTACCAGTCGTCTGTGATTGGCTGAGAGGGCCCCCCTTTGCGCATCTCTGACGGGAGGGTCTCTAGTGGCGGTGCGTCGATACGGTTGGGCAATCGACCAGACGGCGGCCGGAGTCCGCGGACGCGGCAGGGTGGACGCCAGGCGCGACGCCAAGCCGGCAGGGTCAGCGGACGCAGCGGACTGCCCCGGCCGGCTGCGTAGCCAGTAGCCGCGTCGCAAACTGGAGGAAAGCTGGCAAACGGGGCTAGCATGCCAGTGCCAGAGCCAGAGTGCTGGGGCTGCTGGGGTGTGATCGCGCGGACTCGTCTTGAAATGGTCCAGCTTTGGGTGTGGGGCGGGTCGTCCGCGAGGCCGCGAGGAGACCGGCGAAGCGGGGCCGCCTCGCCTCGCCTCGATCTCGGCAGGCATGCCGCTGCTGCCAGTGCCAGGCAGAAGGAGGCCAGCGATATCCCCGCTCGGCTCGCTCCAGCGCATGAGACTTTGAGACTACAGAGGGGAGCGCCGGCTTTTCCTCGTGTTGACGCCCTTCCCGCTTCCCTTTCCTCTTCCAGTGCCGTCGGGTTGAAACATTGAACGGCTGGGGTTGGGGCCGGCGGGGCCGGCACGGGCGGCAGGGCCAGCGCACTCACGCACTTCATCAAGTTTGCAGGCGCCACCAGTCTGCCGCCGCCCCGCCGCCGCCGGGCTGCTGTGATGCAATGTAAAGTTGATGAGGCCGGCCGGCTCGGCGTCGCCCCCCCGCCGACTTGACGGACTTTCGCCGCCCCGGCCGGACTCCGGGCTCCGCGCTCGGCCCTGCTCGACTCGGATCCGATCGACTCGGCCGTCGGTTCGTCGATAACGTGTTGCTGATGGGTGCGTCGCGCTGTGAAGGGTGTGTAGGGTGGCCACCCTCCCGGCGATGTCGACCGGCATGGTAGTGTAGGGTGTCCACCCAGAGACGATGTCGACCAGCGTGTTCAGTATAGGGTGTCCGACCGGCTGTTGGGTTGGGAGAGCGTGACCGCTGTACAGCGACGAGGGCTGTGACGACGTCCTGCCCGCGCTGCGCGCTGCCTTTGTTCCCGTCTTTACATAACGCTGCGTGAATTGAGCGTCGCGACGCCCCATTGGGGCGCAGGGCGTAAGTGACACGTAGCTGGCCGACCCGACAGCGTTGCCACAGCGGCACTGCGCGCGGCTGGCTGTGCTGGCTCGGCAGCAGCACCGCCGCCGTGCTGCAGGCCCTGCAGGCCGTGCTGCTGGCGGGGGAGGGGTGGTCGTTGCGTCCCGGACGCGACGCGGTCAGATTGCTCGCCAGGGCGTGGCGGGTCGTGGCGGAGCGTGGCGGGGCGTGGCGGGGCGTGGCGGGGCGTGGCGGGGCGTGGCGGGGCGTGGCGGGGCGTGGCCGGTGGAAGGAGAGGGGGGTCGCCCGATACCGCCCGGTCATAGGTGGGTTCGATTACACCGAAACGCGACTTTGCAGGACGCTTGACCCCGTGGGAAGCTCTGCGGCTCGCACCTGACGTCGGCGACAAGCCAGCGTGCGTGTGTGCGCGTATGTGGTGGTGCTGCAGGCTGCGGCGCTGCCCCGAGCCGCCCCTGCCCCGCCCCGCCCGCCCAGCTGGTGTGCGGGAGGATGGTGGCGTGGCGGCGCGGCTGCACGTGCACCCCTCTCCAGAGTCCCACCCACCCTAGGGGAGTGCAATGACCTCCGGAGCACGGCGCTGAGCTCAGCCTGCTTGACGGCGGCACGGCCTAGGGCGGACGGGACGGCCCAGGAAGCTGCCCTCCCCGCGTGGCGCTGCGTTCGATGTCTCGATGTGCGCGAGTATCGATTGGGATTGTGAGCGGCTTTGCCTAGCTTTGCCGGGCGTTTCCTAGTGGCCTGGTGCATCCTGATAGTAAAGCCAATGGTGGCGTTTCCCGCCGCGGCACGGCGGCGTGGCGCGTGCACTGCAAACCGTGAGCATGCGCCGAGGCATGCGCCCTTCGTGCGCTTGGTGTGCCATGCTTCGTGTGGGCCGTCGGCCGGGTCCTCCTCCCCTCGCGAGCTTTCGGCCTCGCGTGTGCTGCGCTTTTGGCGATGACTGACACTGTGGTTTGTCTTTCTGTTGCAGACAACTTTCCGGCGGGACTTTAATAGACCACCTGATTGTCAACGGCAGTCGCATCACTCTGCTGCCCAACGTGGAAACGGGACTGCTGGTGAGTACTCGAACCCGCGAGCGAGCCGTTTGCGTTCCGCGTGTGTTTTGCGGTGCGTGGAACGGAATGCGGGTATGGCTTTCCGCCGCGCCAAGCAGCAAGCAGAGGGCGTGCGTGGCGTGCGCGGCCTATACGCACCGCCCTGGCGGGCCTGGCCCTGGTTGCCATGGCGACGGTGGCGAGGCGCGGCCGCGGGCCGCGGCGTGGCGTGGCGTGCAGCGCGGCGTGCGGCGCGGCAAACAACGCCACCGCGGTGGTCGTGGGGTGGCGGGGTGGCGGCTCGACGGCGTGCCGGTTTGCGTGCAATTCGGAGGGCGGCGGCGCGCGCGGCCGGGCGGGGCCGGGCCGTTGTGCCCCATGATTTGCATGGGCTTCAAAACGGCCGCCGGCGCGGCCCGGGCTGAAGGGTGACTGACGCAAAGGGGCGGGGGCTGGCCGGGGCCTCGGGCTGGCCAGGAAGGGCACCGCGTTGCCAGGCAACCGGAGGAGCGCCCCGCCGGCCCCCCGCAGCCCCCCGCGGCGTGGCACGGCGCGGCACTGCGCGGCACTGCGCGGCACGGCGCCCTTTGCTGGCAAGCTGCAGCCAGCTGCCGCGTGCTGCCGCGCTGGTTTGCGTCGCGAGCGAGGTGAGGCTCTCCGCGGGGAGGCGACGCCGCCGTGGATTGACGGCCTGCCTTTGGCGCCCCAAACCCCATGGGCCCCGTCAGTCTAGTCGGGGGAAAGACGGGCGGGGCCACTGAGCCTCCGCAGAGGCGCGCGGGACGCGTTTTACGTGGAGGAGCGTTCCGTGTTCGATTCTCGCGCTCCAGAAACTGACTAGTGAGGAACCGTCGCGCCGTAGTGCCGCCGTGCCGCTGTGCCCCTCGCGACTCGACTCGCGTGCCGCGATGCTGATAATCTCGCAACCTGTTCCTGCCCCCCCCCCCTCTACTTTCCCCTCCCACTCGCGTCTTCTTTTTCTTGACTCCATAACGTCCGTCCGTCTGCGCGGTGCGGCCGGCTATGCCCTGCAGGGTTGCCAACTGGCTCGCCGTGTTTTGCGGATGTGTGTACGACGCGCCCCCACCACAACGAGTACGAGTACCAACTTGGCGGTTGAGGTCAGGCCTTGCCGGGACATGGCGCTGGCTGGGTCAGGTGCCTTACGCGTGAGACGGAGACAGGTGTTCTCGGCGGCGGGTCTAGCTTGGGGGTCACCGGGTAGGAGTGCTACCCGGGACGGGCTGGGATTGGGACGGGGCGTGGGAGAGAAATATCCATTTCGGAGGGCCGAGGGCGGCCGCGGCTAACGCGGCTCATTTCCGATTCCCGAGTCGGTAGTCGGGTCCTTGTTAACCGGCTCGACGGCTAGGCCGCCTTGGAACGCCATCTCGATAAGGCTATCGACTGGGGTCCGCCGGGGTCAGGGGGCCGTCAAGGGTCTCGGCGCGGCATGGATATGAAGCAGGCGAAGCAGGTGGCGGCGCGGCGGGGGAGGGGGATGCAAGCCATACAAGCAGTGTATGTAGTGGCGTTCGGTTCGCCCGTTCGGCTTCTCAGTGGCGGCACCGTGCGAGCCTTTATCGCTGGCCGCATCTCGCCGCCCCGCCCCGCCCCGCCCCGGCCCGCTACCGGATGTTGAGACTGTTGCTCATGTGAACTACCTCCGCGCCGCCGCGCCCCGCCGCGTTACACTATCCGCATTCGGATTCGGCTTGTCTTGGCCCTGCCAGCCGACAGGCCCGGCCCCGCGCCGCGTGGACCGCGATGCCTTCGCCGCCTCGGTGCGTGTGTCGTGCGGCTGGGCCGGCTGGGCAGCGTTTCGGACGCTTTCACACGGAAGTTCGAGAATAGCTCCTTGAGCAGCACAGCGCGCGGAGTGCAGCAGGAGACTCCCCTGCAGCGCGGCCCGGCCAGCAGCCTGCCAGCCTGCCTCCTGCAGCTGGTGGAGCGCGTTGTCGTGTCGCCGGCTGCGGCGGTGACTGCGGCACTGCAACCGTCGCCTCGCCTCGCGCGTCCCTGGCGGAGACTCCCTGTGGGAACCTGCCCGCCTTCACAGCCCCCTCGACGTAAAGCGACGAAAACGGAGCCGCGCCGCGCGACGCCACATCTGCTCCGTGGAGTGGGTGTGGTGGAGGACGAACGCACACTCACGCACGACGACGAGCGCGCCCCGCGCCGCCTCGGCCATGTAGGGCATCGGCGTGCACACGGCACTTCTGGCTCTGCGGACTTCGGCACAATGGCTTCGGCTCTATCGGCCTGTGCGCCAGTCTGGCAGTCCGGCCCGCACCGCGCACCCCGAGACCAACCAAGGCCCAGGCGGGCCCAGGCGGGCCCAGGCCCCCGCCGGGCGGCCGCAGCCTGCTAACTCAGCGTGTCTACTATACTACATAACTCTGTCCGTGGACTCGGGGTGCGGGGCGGGGCGAGGCGAGGCGACTTCCGCCGCAGGCTGCAGGACACAGTGCCATTCCATCCCCCCTTTTTTCCCCCGGGGGCTGTACCGTGTCCGTCTCGCACCGGCCGAAAATTGGCGATGGCTGCTGGCTGGGTCTGGCTACGCCGCTGTACTCTGATGCCGGGGTCCGCGAGGGAGGGCAGCATCAGCACGCAGCACGCATCGATCGGACGAGCGGCAGTGGCGGCATGGAGGCGGGGCGGTGCTCCCCCGAGGCTTCCCCGATGGCTCCGCGATGACGCCGACACCACCGCGATGAGTCGCAAGTCGCGGTTCCTGGAACGGCGGCCGTGGAGACGAGGACGGCGCCGTGACGCTGCGTCGCGTGCCGCGTGCCGGGCCGTTGCAGTCTGGCTCTAACCCGCTTCTATTTCGGCTCGGTTTCGGCCCGGCTGCAACTGGGCCGGCGGGGTGGGGCCGTCTTCTTTTGCGCCTTTGGCGAACTGTCCTGGAACTGGGCGCAGATAGCAGCAGTCGCAGCAGTCTGGTCGCCAGAAACGCGACGCGGCGCGGCGCAGCGCGGCGGCGACTCGCGGCTCCTGACGTCACTGTGTCTGCCAGCTGATAGCGAGCAGCTGGGCCGAGCTGGCATCGCCGCGCGGCGCGGCGCGGTGGCGGCGTGGCGTGGCGGTGAGAGGCCGGGTCTCGCGTCTCGCGCTCGCCTCTAAACTTCCCTCGAGTCTCCTCTGTTCTCCTTTGCTCGGGGTCTGGTGGCCCCAGACTGGTGCGCCGACTGGTGCGCCCTTGGTGCGCCCACCGTCTGTCGCTCTCGCACCTGCACGACACGCTCCATGAGTGCGAGAGACAGAGCGATGAAAGCGCGGTTCGAAATCCTTCCGCTCGCTCTGCTGGCAGTCTTGAGCCCAGGAGGACGCTGATTTGATTGACGGGGCTCTGTGTGGGGGTGGGTGGGGGATTTTCCTGTCGATGATCCAGACGGGGATGTGTAACCAACCGTCAGCATGCCAGCCAAGCCAGCCAAGCCATGCCATCCAGAGCAACAATTTCCCTTGTTCGGTGTGGCAGCTGATGCACCGGCCCCTCCAGCCCCTCCCACCTTCCCGTCGTAATGCGATTGGGAGGGGCGAGGGGCGCTGCTACCTGGCTGGATGGCTGGACCCTGGACCAGGCCGACGAAAAGTACGTTAGCCCCCTTTTGTGCGCGTGTGTGAGTGCGTGTGTGGGTGCGGCAGTGCATTCTCAGACGGTGCTAATGGCGCTTTGTGTGGGGATGCGGCCACTGCAGCGGCAGTCTCCCCCCCCCCTCCCCTCGCGCTTTGTAAGGGGTGTTTTTGCCAGACAGGGTGGGTGGACGATGGCGGGGGTGTTTGGCGTGGGAGCGTCTTCCAGGCTCAAGGCCCTCAGGAGCTCAGGCTAGCCTTGCGGGCTAGGCATCGGTCCAGCTGCACAGAGCCAGCGTCGGTATTCAGTCGCTTAGTCCGGGTTGTGTGGCGACAAACGACCTTCTTACATAGTTAGTCACCACTGTTTTAGGGCTGCAGGCACGTTGGGCCCTTTAGTTTTACGACCGACCGCCAGGCCGAATTATTGGAACTATTAAATAGTGTGGCGGCCCCAGCGAGTGCCTCAGCGTGGTGGTTTCTGCCTTTGTTCTGCTGCTGTGTCGTGTCGGGGGCCGGGCCGGGCCGGGCCGTGTGACTCTGGTCGAAAACACACGTCGGCGCAGTCAGCCGACCGCGCCGCGTCAATGCCAATCGAAACTTATGGATCACGTGCAGCAGTGTGGTGGTCGCGCCCCGGACGAGCCGAGCCGTCCCCAGGGCGATGCCGTATGACCTCCGGTGACAGGCGAGGCGCCCCTGGCAGAGCCCCTGGGGCGGAGGGCTTGGCCGCGGTGAGTCAGAGGGTGAGTGTAGGGGTGCGTCAGACACGTGGACCTGTGTGGGCGACGTGGTGTCGTGGTCCCTGGGCGTCGGACGTGGCCGTCGAGCGCGTCAGCGCGTCACGTGGCTGTCCTGGTTCCGGGCGCATCGCGTGGCGTCGCATGTCGCATCGGCGCGTCGGGCCTTGCCGTTTCCGACGCCAACTTTGGTGGCGGCCGTCGTGTGCTCCAAGGCCTTCGAGTCCCCCGCCGCATCGCTGCGCTGCTCGCCGCGCTGCAATGGGGTGGCGGCGTCGCAGCGCGGAACTCGCGAGTTGAAGTTGAAGCGCCAAGTTGTAGTAGCGCAGCGGCATGGCGGCGACAAGTGCTCGACGAGCTCGCCAGAGTTCCCCCTCCGCGGCGCAGTCCGTGCAGTGCCGTGGCGTTGCTGGCGTAGCCCGTCCTTGGGCTTTGTTCACTATCTTCTTCTCCTTCTCCGCGACACGCCGTGGGGCAAGGTGGGCTTTGCACCTCCGTCTGTGTGTGTGAGCGTGTGTGTAGCAACAAAGTCCGTCCTCCTCGTTCTTTCGAACGGAGCGGGCTGTTTGCACGAGCGCGCGCGCGCATACACACACACACACACACACACACACACTCGTGTGTGTATGCACACGGTCGGAGCGCAAGCTTCCCGAGGCGCGGCACCGGCGTCGAGTTCATCTAGAGGGTCCTGAGGCG